TGTTGAATTTTATAACCTTAGATAAAAATACAAACAATATTATGAATTTTGAACTACAAAATAATTCGCAAATATTCATTTGAGAAGGCGGCAGGCCGCAGCAAGATCCAAATTCCAAGGTGAATGTATTTATATAATATTATAATAGGTATTCAAGTACACATAATACGTATACAATTTGTAAAAAAAAAACAATATGACGGGTAGACGAAGTAAAAATATAGTCATAATAAAAATAATAATAAGAGACGACGCTACGGCAGCGTTTAGACACGTGCACTTTTTGGCGCGCAATATTAAATGGCGATTTATAGTGTCCTTGGAGGTTCGTAGGTGTGTGATCGCGCCCTGATTATGATCCATTCAATTTTTTGCATATCACCTCTTCAGACCCCGCGATCTTTGTCTGCTTTACTACATCGATGTGATACAACAACCATATTATCCGCCAAACCGATCAGTCCATTCAGTCCGCGGCAAGTTGTGAATTCATTATCGTCGATGTTATTTGTCATTGCAGTTTGTCTAAAAATTACAGAAAAATTTTTTCTGCTTTTCTAAAATCCATCGTGAATTGCGTCTCTGTCTAATATCCACATCAGTCTTATATTCATATACAGATCAAATAATTTAGCAGACTACATATACCTATATTGACCTTTCGATTGACTTGCAAATTTTCTGGTAAGTGTCCAAGTTACCTAATGGCTATTGGCTACCCGTTTTGGTAAATTATTTTGAATCGATTGCCGACACTCGTATTTACGGTTGAATATCTTCTATGAAAATTTATCTATACACGCCATTTATTGATTATTAGTGTTGTTTTCTTTCTAACTCAAAAATTTTCCAGAGTGGATTTGTACCTACGACAATGGGAGAAGCCGGTGAAGAAGTCCAACTGTATGTTTACGATTTAACTGGTGGTATGGCCAAATCCCTGGGCCAGTCATTATTACGTAAGATGCTATAATATAATATTTAATATTTACTGACTTTACTATAGGTACATATAATTGATTTGCAGAAAAAAATATTGAAGGTATTTGGCATACCGCAATAGTAGTATTCGGTAAAGAGCATTTTTTTGGCTCCAATGGGATATCAGTATGTGATCCAGTGAGTATTTTGTTTCATATGGATGTTATTACTATATGATTTAATGGTAATTTGTAGGTTCAGATGAAGTAAAATATAATTTTAATATTATATTAAATATTWTTTTTTTYGTATTTAACTGTATTTAGTATATTTACATTTGTGCATTAGAGCTCATCAGAACTTCAAAAAAATATGTTGTTCTTGACTGGAACTGAAAATAGTTTATTTMAATTGATAAAATAATCTAAATAGCTTAAGGTAATCCATGATTGATTTGATGTTGTAGTAACTAATAGGTTATGTAGGTCTATTCAACTTTTAAATTGTTTGATAAAAATAAAGGCTTACTGACTTATAAAATAATTTAATAACAACTGCTTGCATATCTTTGATTCTTACTTAATATTCAAAAATAAAATAATTTAAATACAAATTACAATTTTTGTTAAGGATTATTTATATAATATATTATTATGTTGTAAATCTAAAAGATAAATTATAAGCAATCTTAAGCATAGATAGTTAAAAAATCTATCGTAAAAGAGACATACAACTTTGAAGAAACCATTGAAGGACACATAAGTTCTATAAACTAATACCTATATTTATTAATTTGGTTAAATTATCTATAAAATCTATTGTAGAAAATATCTTAATAAAGYGTATTGTGGAAATGTATACATTATTCAAGTATCCTGAACATTTTTTAGATTATTTTTATTATTGTTTAATGATGTGTTTTAATATTAATTACTTATACCATCATTAATCTTTTATGTTTTCTACTTTAAAATGGAAAAATATTGATGACATTTTATTTTCACTTAACAATATAGAAACAACAATGCTCTGTGTTAGAAAGTGATAATTTACATTTCATAGTTATATAATAATATACCATTTAAGTCGTGTCAAGCTATTTGAATCCTACCCTTTATACATATTATATCTAATAGGTTAGGTTAGGTTATCAATTTTCGATTTATTATAATTTATAATTACTAATTAATATGTGGATATAGACCCAACATTTTATCAACATGAGACGCCTCGTTGCAAATGCCCCCAATGCCCCTCTTTTCAACTAAGCCTACGATAATATTTAATATGTACTTAAAGAGGTGAATTTAATAGTATACCATTTCTACTTATYGAATATATTATTATTTTGTAACTAAATTGATATAAAGTGTTCAACAGACTTTAATGTATAACTAAAGTGTAATTGAAGTTGCAATTGGCAATAACCCAATGATGAAAATATCTAATGTTATTGTGACTGTTATATGAAACATTTTTAAATAAAAAATAAAAAACGACTAAACTATGCGTGTAATTTTTTTTATTGCATTTTCATTAAAATAGCCAAAGATAAATAAAAATAATGTTATTGTTATGATTT